GGACCTTAAATATAAGCTACCCTTTAGTTTCATGTTTTGCTTTTTTAATTTTTGTTTATTTAAAGGTGTCTCAAGAATAAGTTAATTTTCATGTTTTAGAGGAGATTCGCGTTAATATTGATGTTGTCTGATACCTTAGAATATGTATGACCCAGATGTAATCCAAAATCTGCGAAACCTGAGAAAAAAAAATGTTCCCCTTGGTTTCGTTTTCGGCGATTTGGGCCATATGTAAATATCTACAACCAGCAATGAAACAACTTATAGAATTTTTTTGATGATCATATATCGACAAATAAATCGATTTTTCTTAATAAACATAATCGTGGTACAAAGCTCAATAACAATATTAAAATAAAATGTTAATAAGCCACAATAAAATTGAGAAATCGGATTAGGTTTTTCAAAAATGTTGTGAGAATAATTTTTAGATTTCCTTAATGGTTAAGTACATATGAAATATTAAATAATCAAAGTCTCAATGTGATTTTTAAATTCATATCACGTAAATGCAAATAAAATTGAAAGTTTTAAATTTTAAAAAATATATATATTCATATATCACTTTTTCAGTTACAGGTTGACGCGGTCCTTGTAGGCTGGCTGCTCTCCAAACACTTGTCGAAAAGCTACGCTTAAGCAGATTAATTGTTGCCAATGATTTTTTCAAAAACATTACTCCGACTTATTTACGGAAATATAACAATATAGTGTCCAAAGTTCAAACTAAAAAATAAAATGTTTTACTTATAAAATCGCGAGATATGTTAACTTAGTCGCAATTTAGTCGCAAAAACACCGCGTAAGCCAGCAAGTGGAACTCGACTGAAGCAGACATGGGATTCTTACTAGTTAATCAGTAAAGTGTTTGCTCTTTACGGCCACTACATAGCTAAGTATTCTACACATTGTGCGATTGTGTTATGATTTTTGTTGAACACATATTTTAGTAAACCAAAGTCGCTGTTATCAATCGTCACTACGTTGTGTTTAAGAAACAAACAAAAAGGTAAGAAATCACACGCTCGGACAATCTCCTCTCTCATTTCGCTTGTAACTCATATCAAATTTTACTTATAACACGTGTCTCATAAGTTTTGGCACAAAATGCATCGGGGTGGACGATATCCACAATAACCATGGTATTTTAAAATGCGTTTTCATAGTAAGTTACTAAGTTTATTGTCTACTAAAAATTATTTTTATACCACACTATATGGACCATATCCTCGATTTTTCTAAGGATGTATGGAACTTTCTTCATCATGTTCTGGCAGACCGATTTATCCATTTCCCTTATCTTTCGCGTAATCCTTCCAATCAACTGGTGCTCATTTTTAGCCTCCCAGCCTTTGTCATACACCATACGCTTAAGTATTGCCCAGAAGTCTTCGATTGGACGTGCCTTTGGGATATTCGGAGGGTGGTCCTTTTTCGGTACAAAAGGTATATTGTTTTCTGTGAGCCAATCCAACGTTTTTTTAGCGTAATGGCTACTTGCCAAGTCCGGCCAAAACATGATTTTGTCGCGAGCATGATTGTTTTCAATGAAACGCTTCAACTTGGTTAAACATTGGTTAATGTAAGTGTCAGAATTGATCGCTGCAGCACCACTTGGGCGGATTAACGGCACTGAAACACCTTTTGATGAAATGGCGGCCCACACCAACACTTTTGGTTCAAATTTTGATTTGGCGGCATATTTCACCTTATCTGGAGTCAATTCAATGTTATCAGTGTAGAAACCATCATTCCCGCTTATTTCATGATGCGAAAAAGTGAAGTAAGATTCATCGTCTAAAATTATGAATTTTCCATTCACAAAGTGCTTGTTGCGTAGTGCCCGACAACATTTTGGTATTATTTCGAGCTGCCTGGCTGTATATTTGGGTGCACGCTTACGTTTCCGGTAAAACACATTATGCTTGGTCAAAACACGATGGACCGTGGATTTGGAAACGTCAAATTTTCGCGATAATCGTCTCGTGGATTGACCAACGTTGTTTTTGGCCCTATTTATCAAACTTTTTACGAGTTGGTTAGTTAGTTTTGGCGGACGACCACA